ACGGGCTCGTAACCTTACGTAAGATTACGAAGCGTAAGGTTTACGTAATACTTCGCATTATTAAATTTACTGATGTACTCGAATCGTAATCAGCCTCAGGTTGCGCAAGTTATGCTAGTACATTCATTGTGTGAACGTCCAAGTATGCCGGAAATAGGTAGAATTTACTCTGTCTGGCTGAAATAGTGTCTTTCGATACAGGAGGAAGAAAATTGCCAATTTTCCCATTAGTGCTAAGGAGAACACTGAAGAAGCCATGCCAATGGATTTCTCGAATTTGTCATCACCATCGAACAAAATAAGTCTCAACGTCTCTCTGTTCATCTGCTAATGAAAGCAATTCATGTGCCTCATCAATACAACAAATGGCTGAAATCGAAATAGCTTCGTTACAAAATCTTCTTGGCTAAAGAGACTATTTTGTTGCGACAAGCTCAAAATGTCTTCCCAAAATTTTGTGCGCTCGTCCTCATATTCAGCTTTAATCTGTATGTCCCAGAATTTTTTTGCATCCCACGTATATTCTTTCATTCGGCTATAAATTACTTGAATCGCTACAGATAAAAGCTTGTCAAATTCACGATCCCGAATTTTGTCAAGTATTTACTGAACAAAAGGTGTCCCAGCAGGGTATTCACTACTATCTTTATGACGTTTTCATATATAGAGAACATAGATTCCCAAGTTACTTAGCTCTCCTACGAGCCTCGTTTTACCTGAACCAGAGTTTTGAATAATGGTTAAGTAAGGAACATAAGGTTTTTCGTTTTGACGCCATTCTAAATAGAAGAAGGTTAACTGGCTGTAGAATGTCTAGATAGCTGTGCCCTGGTATTCAGGCTCGCGATACACTTCCGCTCAATATTATTATTTTCAGCAAGTGAACATTTTAAAGATGTTTCATTTGCTGCGAGATGATAATGAAGATTTAATAAAACGTCAACATTACTCAAGTGGATGAATGAGATAGAAATATTATGTACAGATGAATTTTTAAAAATACAACAATTGTTTGGTCAATTTTAATTGTCATTATAAATGAGCATTCTGACTCGTATGATAGGATAACATTCTCTATGCTTACTCTACTCTCCTCCCAACGCATGTTACAATAGCATTCAAAACATTCGTCCCTACTACGTTGCTGCGCCTATTTAACAGCATTCGAACTATTCTCCTCTGTTGCTTCTACTCTACTATATCGTATTTTGCTTATTTGCCTTTCAAACGAGTTTACGTATAACCCAACCTTTGCTACGACTCCGCTCTATGTCTCAACCCCAATGCATGTTAAAATGCATTTGAACTATCCTTCTAATAAACATGTATTCGTTGCTTGCTTACCTTGTTGCATCTTGTTGTATTCTTTTTTGATTTCATCATACAAGACGCCAGGGTGATCTTTCATATATTGAAATGTATATTCTCCAGTTGGTTCTTCCATGTTGTGTTATTAGTGTTATGAGAGGGAAACGAAAGACGTGTAGCTGCGCGTTTATATCTTGCGCTCCATGGACATATCACGTTGTGGAATAATTGCATGCATCAAATCAGATTGTCCGATTGTTGCCCCTGTGAAATATACCTGCGTGTTTTTGGAAAGTGAATGATTCAGCCAGCATGTGATCATTCCTGTCTGGTTAATCAGATCACGGGAAAATTTGATGCAACACATGTGTTAAATTAGTTACTTATTTTCGATTAGATTAGTATTTTGTCGTACGACTAATCTGAATACCTACTTACTAGAACGTTGTCTCTCGATTGTCACACAATAAGTTCTAACCATACCCTAATTGATGATTGTTATACTGCTGTAAAGAACAACAAAGACGTTCAAGATGTGTTTTATGTGTTTGAAATAATCTTTGTTTATCATCAAAGAAAAAAGGGTTCAGAGGTAAATCAAACAGTTTTTGTCTAGACTTTTAATAAAACTATTGATTTGAGCCTGCCTTTTATGAGCTCATGAGGTTACTATAAAAGCAGCAAGACTGTCAGAATCTCTCTTCACTCATACCTAATAATTATCAATTTAAATTGATTGCAAAATCAATCGTAAAAACTATCTGATCACACTTTCACTTAAACAATTTAAAAATGCCAATTTCTACCAGCAGTGAATTTTATTGTAGATTGCTGATCAGGCTTTTTCTTGGCTTCATGCTTTATTATAAACTCTACAAAAATAAACTTAACGACATAAAACAAAAAATTGATAAAATAATCAATTTAATCGAGCCTACGAAAAGGCATAATAATAAACCAAGTAAACAATTCGACGAACAAATTTACTTACCAGAAGTCGAAAAACTGCTTGACAAAAAGTCCGGACTGGATCCAAATTTTTCATTTAATCAAATGGTCACCGAAATCCACGAATTACACAAAGAAAGAGGTATTGCAGCCTCTACGTTGAAAAGCTTTTATAAACGAAAAACAAATCTGAGGAAAAAAACACTAAAAGCCATTGAAGAATGGTTTAATAAGAATAAAAAAATAGAAGATGAAGACGTTAATAATAATGAAATGTAGTATAGATTTCATCAGAGTGATCAAAGAATAGGTTATACTCATTAATGGCTTTGGATCTGAGTATTTTCCTCCCATACAATCACTCTGGTGCTTTTAGATTATTTATATTTCAAGAGCGCGCATTCAATAATTAAAATAATAAATTTATGCCTACGAAAAAATTTACATTTTTTGACTCTTTAATTGCATTGTGTCAAAGTAGTGAACGTTGGTCAAAGCTCAACGAATGCATTCAAACAGTTCTTTATCAACAAGTCAAAAACTATAAGGAATGTTAAACTGCTTCCCTTACCTGTCTTCAAGTTTTTGCTTCTTTCTTGGTTCATCATTAGCTGGGGTTAATGCTCGCTTATTGTTTATTATTTTTTGTTCTTCTTGGTAAATTTCATAAGTAATTTTTTCTTGATCTAGATATTCCTGAAGAGTTTAGGTATTATTGATTTTGAAAACATAGGGAGCAATTTTTTCTCCTTGAGCTTTCTTTAAGATGCTTCTAATAGTGCTGTAATTCTTTGGTTCCATAGTGGATTTGATGTAAATTAGTTTCATATTAACATTTTTCATATAGAGGTAGTCCTATATATATTAATCCTATTATGGTTTATATTCATCACATTCTGGTATGATAAAGGGAACATTAAAATCAACAAGCCCATAAGTTATGAATGAGTACCATTATTACTTTTCAGTCACATTGGTCAATTTTACAGCCACATGATAATCAGCCTCTCATTATGTCACATAATAGAATGTTCACTTTGTCTGGTTTTGTTGCAGCATGCCCTATATCAGATAAATGCAATAGTTACAAATATTGATAATTATTATAATATTTATGGATTAAGAATACTAACAACAACAACTACCAATACTATTGTATATATGACTACTATTCTTGTTATTCCTATACCTATAGTAAGTACAATTTCAAAGAATATTGCATACAATATAAATGCAAATCGAAACTATATACATAATCTATTACTTATTAATGCCAATTCTTTAATTTTTCAGATAGAGAATTATTATATGGCTCTTTTCTCTCAATCTTTTAATGATCAGTTTGCTAAACAATTTATTCTTTCTAAAGAGGATTTACTTAACAATCTAACAGTTCATTGTTATGATACAGATATTTATGAAAATGAAAAAATTGATAACTTAGTAATACTATATTAATTGATTTTATTAAATTTGATTTGTATTCAATAGAAGCATATATTAATACTATGAAAATATTTGCATCCTTTCCTAAATTTTATGATTATTTTAAGTATAATGTTATTCCATTAATTGCTGATTGGTCAGGTCAAATATATCCTAGAAAAGCAATTACTATATAACAAAGATAACAATAATCAAAAAAGAATAATTAGATAGACATTTCAGAGTGTATTAATTCTTTTATTTTAATTATAAGACCTTTGTATATATCTTTAAACAGTCAGAAAACTGTTGTTTTATTATTTTTTGATTTTTTAATTCTATATATAAATATATTTTTGGAACAAAAAAAAAGCTTGCTAATAAACCTTATTTTTAGAGAATTAATATTTTATTGTAATTAATTTCAGATGCTTGGAAAAATGTTACTTCATATGTTAAAGAAAAAATTGAGCCAATTTGTTTTAGAGATGTAGAATATCTTACATTAAAAATCCTCTTAGATGATACTATTCCTTTAGTTTTAAATATTTATGCAATAATTTTTAGATCTGGTAATTGAGAAACAAATATTAAAGCTTGTGTAAGAGTATAGTGTTTATTTGCTTGATTTAAACAAAAAAATTATAATAAAGTATTATTTTTTTTTTTCAGATATTTGGTATTGGGAAAATATTAATCATCCTATTCTTGATATTTTAAATAAAAAATTTTATAGCATTTAATGATTATCCTATAGAAAATTATCATTCATTAATTCGAAGACAAACAAGAAAAATAGATACACATAAACAATTATCAAAAACAGCTTTTGTTATCAATTATCTTCATCATGATAATGTATTTTAAAATGCATTTATTGTAACAAAAAAATATCTTTATTATAAAAAAGATTTAATAGGTTTAATTAATAAAGCATCTATTTTTCTTTTAAAATTATTTACAAAAGTTAATAATAATATTAGAAAAAGCAAATGGATAAAAATTAATTAATATGGAAAAAATAAGCTTTCATGTCATCTTGCAGCTCTTAATATGAATGTAGATGAATGATATTTACCAATGGCTTTTAGTTTAGAATATCTATCATTTAATTTATTAGAAAAGTATCATCTTCAAGATTTTTGTAAAATATTACAATCAGCATCTAAAGATTTTACTTCTTACAATTTAATGAAGTTTATTTCTCTTTCATGTGGTCATATTTATCATCAATATTTTACAATATCTTGAGTATATTGTTTAAAATATATTAAAAATAAAATTAATAATAATGTAAAATCTATTATTTCTAAAATTACTGAAGAAAATTTTAAAGTTAAACTTGATCAAGAAGATGAAATTCAATTAATAGAAAATGATGAACCTAAAGATTTATCAAAGCAAACATTATTTGATTCTCAAGTTACAGAACAATTTAAAATAGCTCTTAAAATATTTATGAAA